TAGTTGCTAAAAGTTATCATCATGACTTTTATTATGCCAAGGACCTGAGTTTTATATGGATTCAGGCCATAGAAAACTCAGGATCAAAGTCAGCGAGACGTCTCCGTTGGTTTCACCAATCTCGACAACTGTTGGTTTGGTCTTTCAAAAATACTCAGTAAAGGTTACAGGTGTACATGTTGGTGAATAAAGGTGAATGTGTTTGCGTTAGTGATTCATAAAAATCAAGAGAAGTTGCCAGCCAACAATATTCGCCCTGTTCGTTTGACTTATAAGCCGTACTTTTTCAGTCAACAAATAGTATTTTTCTCTCAAAACAAATCAGCCAACGGTACTTTCAGCCATGACTTATCGGCCATGGCGAATAGGGCAATTCTCTTCTGTGCGCTTCAAATCGGCGATGAACGGCCACAAAAATACCAAATGCAGTCATGCAGATGCAATGCAGAGGCTGTTTTATTTCGTTCAGGCCCAGCAGAGCACTCTGAGAAGCCCATTACTATGTAGAGGCCCATTGAACGATGTCCTACAAATATCTCAAAGTCAAAGGAACAAAAAGAAAAAGATTCGCCGTTGCCGGGGATCGAACCCGGGTCACCCGCGTGACAGGCGGGAATACTCACCACTATACTACAACGACCTGATTGATTACAAATCAGCAGCTGTTACTAATTTACTATTAAATCTTGAGGTCATGCGCGAGAGAAAAACCCGATGATATCATAGCCCTCTTTAGTTCCAGCTTAATATCGTATCGTCGTCTTTAGTTCCAACTTTGCTTCTTCGTAATTGGACTTGCTCTTCTGTCGATTCAACCATTGCAACCAAGGATTCAAAAAAACACACACACAATAGTTGTTACTTCTTCGATCCCAAAATAAATACAGATCTCACTTCTCGATGAATCAATTTATTTTAAAATTGACTATGAAAATAAAAAATTAATATGAGCATTTATATCTTCAAATAAGCTTATCACAGAAGTATACTCCATGCTCAATCTAATGATAATTATTATGCATAAAAAATATTAGCATATTTTTGTATAAATTTGGTAAAACTTTAAAAGTTTTTACTCATTGGAAAGCGAGATGTGCATTTATTTTGAGACGGAGGAAGTACGTTGTTTCAATATGATGGACAATTTTCAAAGGGAAATGTTTCCCTTTTTTATGGGTGTGGCTAGCGCCCGGATGTCTGGACAGACGCACGCGTCCGGACACCCGTGTAGCCTGGCTCCGTCCGCCTCACAACGCCTCGCACACGCACCCCGCCCTTATTGCTGCGCCCGTGGCTCCTTCCCAGCGACACCGCTCCCCTCTCTCCGCGCCGGCGAGACCCGAGAGCCAGGATGTGGACGAGCATGTCCCTCGTCCATGAGGACCCAGCGCGCACACACGCACCGATCGGCCTGGCCTCTAAGCGCCCCATCCATCCAGCAGCACCAGGGTGTGCCCCGAGACTCTCTAAACACACATCTGAAACATGAAATACTTGAATACAACATACGTCAAAAGCAAATGAAACATTTGGAACATATACTTGAACACATATGCAACATCCACATAAAACACTTGCAACTTGCAACATGAAAAGCATTCTTGCAATATAAGATCAAAAACGACTTAAAATCATTGGAACATACTCTTGCAACATGTGTGAAACATATACAACATCCAAATCAAAACGCTTGCAAACATACATCTAAAAAGCAGATGAAACATTTTTTATTAAAAAGCTTGTATCATGCCTTTGAAACACTTGCAACATATGCAACATCCACATGAAACACTTGCAACATACCTATGAAACATCGAAGGACTTGAAACATAGGCTTGCAACATGCATTTTTCGCCATTCTTCCGTACGACGCAGCGCAGAGTAGGGGCGGCCTGTTCTGGCCAGCCGATGGCCGAGGATCGTGGCGTGTCTGGCGGTGCGGTGAGCCTAAGGCTATTTGGGGCCTGCCCAGTGATGGGCCCCTCTCTTGGCGCGGCGTGGGGCGAGCAGCACGGCATGACGCTGTAGGGGATGGGGAACGCCTGGGGGATGGTAATGACGCAGCAGAGTGGGAAGCGGTGAGGCCACGCCGTCTTGGCGTGAAGTGGGGAGAAGCAGCATGAACAACGCGGGATGGGGCGAGATGGCGCCACCATGTTGAAGAAGGCCACGGCAAGTGGCCTCGCGCCACCTGCGGTGAGAAGCCTCGCGCTGGAGAAAGGAGCAGCGCTGTCTTTTTTGGAGAAGAGGACTGGCGAGCAGTGCTGGATAAGGCGGAGTGCGGGCACGTGGTGTCCGGATGGACGTCCGCGTCATATCGTTATCGTTTTTTTAATTTTTAATTAGATAGAAACCCAATTCTTTCCTTGCGTTCTCGATCATGAAACAGGAACCTAATACTATTGCTGAGCTAGTTATCGGGACGTACTATATCAAGCAGCAATAGAGTAGTGCATTTTCTCTGCGTCTTTTCTCCGTTCACCATCAGTCTGTACCAATTTTATTATATGTAAAAAAAGCTTTGGTCAACAAGGAAGAAGAAAAAAAGATGACTAGCAGAGGCAATGGCAATTGGCAAACTGTGAATGATATAGTGAGATTTGTGTAAGTAGATCAGATCACAATGTGTAAAAACAAAAATAGCAAGCAGTAGCAGATCACGAGCTGGGTCACCTGGGAATCTTTACAAGTACAGTCACTGCCTCGTCGCCGTCGTCCGTGTAGGATAGGATGCTCTGTGTCCTCCGAGGGCCCTGTTTGGCAGGGGAATGACGTCTCGGAACCGTTCCGGCCAAAAATGTCTATTTAATTTGTATGTAGCAGACTTAAGCAGGAATCGTTCCGGAGCAGGAATGACTCAAACGAACGAGCCCTAAAGATTCTTGCAAAGATTAGGGAGCAAGTGGACGTGATCGATCCTCCCAAGATTGGTTCTCGAGGTCGCGGCATCCGGCGAGAAGATATTTTGCCTCCCGTCCCAGTCCCAATAGAATAGAATACGATGAATGCCCGGAGAGGCATCGACACACAAGTGTGGATGCTCTCGGCAGCACCAGCCCAGTCGCAGGCATCGATCCGATGATCGTGTGGTGTGGTTGCTGGTTTCTGCCTGTGGCCTTTGGGTGGGCAGCAAGTAGTCCATGGCGATGGTATCGACGCTAACCAAAGGGAGAAAGAAGCATGTTCCACTGAAACATCGTGATGTTGAACGCTTCTGAAGTATGATAAGAATATGAAACTGCCCGTTTGTTGTTTCTGCAAAAGAAGAAATGCCGATGCGCATGGTTCCATCAACATGGTGGCGTGTGTTGCCATCTATTCGGTCGTCAGCTTCCGTAGGGAAGCCGGCATGGACGCATGGTATCGCCAATCGCCATCTGATGAAGCTAAATTCCCCTGTTCCATGGAGCACGGCCATTCAGTCGATAGCAGATATTCCATTTCTCAGCTACTAGCATGTTAGAGCCCAGTTCTTTTTTCCCACATACCAAGGGCGTTCCCAGGAGTCACCTAGCGCAGGCAGCGTTCCCAGGCATCAGACGCCACACCTGGGGATGAGATGGATGCCTGGCGATGCTCCTGCCTGGGAGACGTCCATCCAAACAGGCCCTAATTTTGAACAAGTTCACAGTTTTATCACAACGTTCTCTATTAGATAGACCAAGATGCATGGCTTCCTCCCTCCATCTCTCTCGGGCACAACGTACGCTTACCTGGCAAAGAGCTATTCTAGCTTGACAGCAAGACATGGAGCCCTACGTACATGCCATAAAGCTATTTCTGTTACACAAAGAGACAGGGGGCCCTGAGTATGCCAGGACATGTTACATGTGCTGCATCTCTGAACCACAATTGAAGAATCAAGGCTCAAAGGGCAGACAGGGGATGGTCCAAGATCCAGAAACCAAGGGGGGCTACCTCAGGAAACGGACACGATCACGACCCGACCCCGTTCGCTGGTCTAAAACTTGGGTGAAACTGGCTGAAAAACACTGTTTCGGCTGAATTGTTGTGAGAGAAAAACACTGTTCCGGCTGGAAAAAGAAGCCTACCAAACCGAATATAGGGTAAGCCGAACAGGGCCAAGCTGTACGCGTTCCCACAGGCCACAGACCACAGCAATGCCACAGACCACAGCATTACAGCAATGCAATGCAAGCTGGTCCGGACACTGGACAGGTACGGTATGTGATAAAAAAAACACACAATGCACATCTGTATATCATGTCCAGGTTTGTGATTTTCTTACCGTATAAAGGTAGCAGTAGCAGTAAATGCAGAAACTATAGTGGCTGCCTGGCTTGCTTTTATGCATATACGAAGATTGTGGAGGATAGCTAAGCAGGTGACTCTGATAAACTTCTCAACACAGCCGGTATTATGCTGTTCATTGATAAGAAAAAACTGATTCTAGAAAGAAGCACGCAACAAACTGTCGGAAATAGAAGTTATGAAGAGTGGCTGTATAGCAGGGTCACTATCAATTACCTCACTTTACAGGACCAAAAAATAGGTCATGAACAAAGCAGAAAATGGGAATGCTGTAGGAATATGGATAAATTGATCACTGATTGTCATATACATACTAGTTTTTCAAAGAGAAAGTCAAGCTGCCACAGCAACTGAGAATACAGGGGTACCACATAATATTACCAGCCGTTCATTAAGCTTACAACATCATGAACATCAAGCATCCACAATCTTGACAATGCAAGCAAAATCCAAGGGACATAATCTTAAAACAGAGGTTCATGACTTAAAGCAAGGATCATAATATAGTTACCATGATAGGGAGAGCAGAACAGCCGGCAAACAACCAGACAATTGAAGCATGAACTCTTCAACTGGATAGACAGTCACTTGTCAACACGAAAATTCCAACCCGACTGAGACGGGTTAAATGATCAATATCTCTAAATAACTGGGAAGCAATCAGACAATCGCATGGGCACAAAGCTGAACACCAGAAGTTGCCTTCAGTTCATATATCCTCATCCCATTTATCCATGGGTGTTCAAAGCCTCCCAGACCAAATTCTTGGGAGCGGCACCACTTGTGGCGCTCCTGGCCTGCAAGGCAGCAGCCCTGAGTGTCTTCCATGTAAGCACATTTGCGCCCCAGAATGAGGCTGCAGAATAAGTCAGGCCATGCTTCTTGCAAAGGTCATGCACGGCCGGCGCGACCTTCCGAAGGTGGCACCGAGGTAGGCGGGGAAACAGATGGTGCTCAATCTGGAATTGCAGACCACCATGGAACCAATCCATCCACGGAGGGCACAGGATGTCGAGCGAGCCTGCCGTCTGCTTCTCAAACCAGTCATTGCCCTTGGGTGGCCCGACATACACATCGGACGAGAAGTGGTTCAGGCAGAATTGGACGTGCTGAATCCCGCAAATGGTAAAGCTGAAAAGCACAAACGCGACCCTCTCCCACCAATTCGGCAGGGAAACCACCAGCAATGGGTACCAAGCCCAGAATGCGGCGACCCCGGCGATCTCAAGCAACCGCTGCGGTACCCTCTTCTCGGTGAGAACGAAGAGAGCGGACTGCACAAGAAGATTTATCCTGGCGATGCACATTACCGGGTAGAAGGTCCAGTGCTGGTAGCTGATGAGGAATTTGGAGGCGGCGTCGAACGCCAGGGTCCTTTGGTAGAAGCAGGACCATATGTTGCCGAAGAGCTTGGGGGAGACGGCGAAGAGCGGCATGTGCTGGAGGTCCGGGTCATGGTCCAGGCTGTTGCAGGCGATGTGGTGCGTGTTGTGGTTGCATTTCCACCAGGCGATGCTGAGGCCGGTGAGGCAGTTCCCGGAGAGCACCTGCACGACGCGGTCGAGGACCGGGTGGCCCGTGATGCGGTGGTGGCCCGAGTCGTGGCCCATCCAGCCGGACTGGATCCAGACGAAGCCGATGAGCCCTCCCGCGAGGAGGTGCGCCCAGGCGCTGGCGCAGGCGAGGGCGAGGTAGAGCGCGGCGTAGAAGAGCACGGCCATCAGGACGAGCTGGACCTTGGGGGCGGGGCCGACGCGTTCGAAGAGGCCCGCGGAGGAGAGCTGCGCGAGGAGGCGGCGGTAGTCGGCGGACGCGGGGGAGACGGTGTAGTCGGAGAGGCGGCCGACGAAGAAGCGGCGGAGGAGCGGGCGCGCCGAGGGCGGGTGGTAGGCGACGAAGGCGTCGGTGGCGTCCTGCCCCGCCAGGGTGATGAGCGGGAGGTCACCGCCCGGGTGGTGGGGGAGCCAGGGCGTGACGTCGTACACGTCGCCGGAGATGGAGATCCAGAGGTCGTCGGCGGACGCGTGCGCGCGGAGCTCCTTGGAGGAGATCATGCGCACGTCGCCGGCGCCCGCGGCGTCTCCGGGGGGCGACATTGCGTCGACGGAGGGCGGCATTGCGCGGCCGTGGGTGGTGCTGATTTGGGACGGGGAGGCGGGGGGAGAATTGGGGAGCGGGGGAGATCGGATCTTGTTGGTGGTGGCGGTGGCGGTGTTTTGTTGTGTGAGGAGGAAAAAAAAAGAATATCCGTGTCATCTCGCTGTTCGATGGGCTGGCTGTTGTGTCGGCTGAAGCTTCCACACACCTCTCCGTGGCAGCTCGTGGCGCCGTGAACGCGAGGGACGTGGCTGCTGGTATGGATGGCCGTGTCGTGCACGTTCCTGGCGCGTCTCCGTCCTTACGCGCTCCCAGAGGGCATAGGTGAGGTGCGTTGGGGGCTATTCGGCACGACTAAAAAATAAACTCCGTTATATTGAAAACACTGTTTACGTAAACATTGATTTCGTGAATAGACTGGTCAGCCAGCCAGCCGAACAAGGCCCTATGATTCTTTCCTTGTGTTCTCTAGCTTGTTGTTTGGCTTGGTTTTGCATCTAGATTTCTACAACTAAACGCACTTTCTTGTGTGCTTGATTTTTTTTGTCTGATCCGAAACACAGACTAGCACTCGTGCTACAGCTCAGATCCACGTTGGACCGATAAATTTTGAGATCGACGAAGTCATTATACATGCCTCATTATCGAATGACACATCGTCTGCCACTACAAAAATAACATTTTTAAATTCTAGAATAAATCAAAAAAATAAGAGCATCTTTGTCAAGCCAAGAACTTAAACTTGGTTCGTGCAGTTCAATAAGAATAAAACAGACATTATAAAAAACAAGAATGAAATAGGGGTGATAAGGACTCGAGATCCTTAGCACCTAAGGTTCCTAGACGACTCAAGGTTCAAGGTCGATTCACGCAATTAAGGTTCTTTCTCTATATTTCCACATCTCTCTAGTCGATTCTCTCACAGAGATTTGATCACCCACACATCCAAGTTCGTTCTCAGCCATGTATATTCTTCGTCTTAGGCCAACCATGATCTACTAACCTTAAACCCTAGTAGTTCATTTTTCTCTCATCCTCGTTTAGAGTGGGGGTGATGGATCTTGGAAGCGATTAGGGTAGAGGGAATGGAAATTTGATAATGAAGGTGAATCTATTGGTGGTAGAGAGGAGAGGGGTCAAGATCGGAGGTGATGGTCACGATCAACTAAAGGCGATAGAACCTCAGGCGATTGACAAGGTGTTCACGGATAAACTAATCCATGCAAAGGTGTTGGTACAATCCCCTGCTAGGTAAAATTTTCGTGCTCGGTTAAGGGAGTTGTATGCAAGGATTTGGGAGAGAATCACTTCGTTCAAGCAAGGAGGCGAGTAAACATAGGGGTGGCCCATGTAAGTTGATAAGGATTTGGTTATTATGGTGTATTTTGAGGAAACCAAATCCCTAGAAGAATTGGAGTTCATGTTGATCTCGGTTGCCTAGCAAATCCCTAGAAGAATTAGAGTCTCACATCTCCTGTTGGGCATGATGAACAAGGTAACTAGGAAAGAAATTGGGAGATTCCTTTGAAATGGAAATGGAAGAGGATGCCATAGCGGTGGGTAGAGTGCTTTAGGTGAAGGTACAGATGGACATACACAAGTCCTAAACTGAACAAAGAAGTAATAGAAAAGGAAATTGAAAAAGTAAAAGGGGTTGGGTAGAGAAAGAGGTGGATAAAAGGAGGTTTGGGCACTACGGAGGCAAGCTAACTTGATAACTTAGTGAAGGCAATGTAATACTCCTCAACTGACATGTCCTGCTGCTGCTGAAGATAGTGAAGATTCTAATGAATTGAATAGCAGAGAGCTGAGCTGCTTTATTGGTAGTGAAAGGATCAAGATGCCTAAGAGGGGAGGTGAATTGGACTAATTCTAAAATTCTTTCAATAATTAAACCCTACACTTAGCCCACTTCACCCCTTGTGCCTAGAATATGTTCCTATTGTTTTACCGCACAAAAGTTTTGCATCTTAGATTCCAATTCTACTCTAGCATGGCAATTCTAAGAATGTAAAGACAAGAAATGAATTGCTCAAATGTAAATGCTTAAAGTAAAGAGAGGAGAAGAAACGCGGAGATGTTTTGCCGAGGTATCGGAGAGTCGTCACTCTCCACTAGTCCTCGTTGGAGCACCCACGCAAGGGTGTAGCTCCCCCTTGATCCGCGCAAGGATCAAGTGCTCTCTACGGGTTGATTCTTCGACACTCCGTCGCGGTGAATCACCCACAACCGCTCACAACTTGAGTTGGGTCATCCACAAGCTCCGCTGGATGATCACCAAACTTTCAATCACCACCAAGCCGTCTAGGTGATGGCGATCACCAAGAGCAACAAGCACAAACTCTCACTTGATCATGACAAGCCTAATGAGAAGGGTGGATGCACACTTGCTACTCTCCTTGCACAAATGAGGCCTTAATCTTGGATTCTCAAATTTCAATCACCTCACTAGGCTCTTACTCTCCTTTGCACTCTCAAGGGTGTTTCTCAGCTGAACAAATGGGTAAGAGACCTCCCTTGGATAAGTGGAGTAAGTATTTATACCCTCTCATTCAATACATAACGTTTGGAGGTTGAGTCATCACTCTGCGAGGTGACCGGATGCTCCGGTCAAGGTGACCAGACGCTTCGGTCAGTTATCCCCGCCACTATGTCAGAAAGAGCCGTTAAGTTCTGACAGGACTCTGACCTACGTCCGATCAGCACTGACCGGACGCGTACGGTCATGAAAACTGCTCTCTAGAACCTTACTGATGTTGACCGGACGCTGGCACCTAGAGTCCGGTCACTTCGCTGTTCAGCGTACGGCCAGTTACCGGATTCTGACCGGCGTCCGGTCAGTACTGACCGGACGTGTTCGATCAGGAATCTCCCTCTCTGGAACCTCTCTGGAGTTGACGGATGCAGGCACCCAGTGTCCGGTCACTTTTCACTCAATGTCCGGTCACAACCAGATGGCTCTAGTTGATCAAATGAACTGACTGGACTCACCCTTCAACATCTGGTCACAATCAGACCAGTGTCTAGTCAGTCATTTGACCCTCCATTCACTTCCAACTCGAAATCATATGTGAATGAAGTTTGCTCCAATTGATCTTAGGGCTACTCCGGAGCTACCTAGTGCTAGATTTGACAAGTGTGCACCACACCTAACCCACTAGACTCACCTAGGTCAAGCTACTAGTCCATACCCCCCTTAATAGTACGGCCAAAGGAAAAATAAAGTCCTAAACAACTCTAAGTGTCTCTTCACCGGCCTCGGGCGAACCCCACACAGTCGTCGTCGGTCGTCGTCACTCGTGTAGTCAATCTCTCCCTTTTTGGTGATTGATGATAATACAACCTTGAGTATATAAAAGAGATGAGGTTTTCAACATGCTTGGTTCATATAAGCTTTTGACAATAAGAGCAAAAAAGTTAGACATGCTTATATGACCCAAGCCAATATGTACTCAATAGATATGAAATAAGCATGAGTACAAGAAATAAAGCTCATTTGAATCGGAGTAAAACGCGGAAGCAAGGCAAATGAGCATAACCAAGTGACATGACATATATAAATCAAAGTAGAGAGCACACATGTCACATAAGTATCACAATCACATGTATGTAGTTCAATGCATGAAAGTAAACGTGAATGCATAATGTATCACACATAAAGAGCCAAAAGAAATAAACCATATGCTACCCCTAGATATAACGCTCCCCTAGATCTAACATACTTGATCCTCTCCCCCTTTGGCGTCAAGCACCAAAACCTAAGGGTGGACGGTGGGGGAGAGCAACGCAAGTCGAAATCGAGGTGCGGTGAGAAATCAGGAATCATGCAAGCATCATCCTCTCGACCTCGAGCTCGAGGCGGTCGACCCTCTGTCGCTAGAAGTGAAGTGAAGTGGTGCTGGTCTGCTCTAGGATCTGGCGGCACTGTGACTCTGGAGGTATCACTTTGTAGGTGGTGGCTCTGATGATGCAACAGATGATGGGAGCATCTCTATAGTCCTAGTAACTGGAGCAACTATGGTAGGTACAGGGACTCACAACTCTGGCGATGTAGGCTGCCCTATAAGCTCACTGAATGTCGCACTAAGACTCTTGGATACTGAGGTGTCAATCACTAGCACTGAGGAGCTCGAGGAGGGAGTGAAGCCCGTAACAATGGGAGTGAAGTGAGGACCTGGTCATCCATGGCGAAGGCAGACCACTAAGACACGCTTTCTGTAGGTGAAGCAAACTGAGTAGCTAGCTATCCCTAACTCTGAAGCCCACTGGGCTGTATAGCTAGAGTCACTGAAGTGGTGGCAGGCTACCTATCTGAGGTGTAGTCTGTGGAGGAGCGGCCACAATAGCAGAGAAAACGTGCTGCATGAACCCAAGTAATCGCGCTTCTTTGCATCATGAGTCGCCGCTTTGCTACTTGGCTCGCTTGTTGCCTCTGGAACTCATCTGCCGAGCTCGAACTCTGTGCAAGTGTGTGTTCTTTCTCTCTGTGCTGGTCCTACCTCATCCGCTCAAGTACTGCGCAAGAAGAGCTGGATCTGTCTGTGGTGGGGTGTGGAGCGGAGCTAGAGCCTTGGCCTCTGTCATGTGGTCAAGGAGGCATATGAGGAATAGGCCGATAATCGTGACATCTCGAAATTTGTCACTAGGGTTGCTCTCGACCACACCCTCCTGTTGAGCATCTAGCTGCTCCTCCTTTATCGCTGCAATGCCCCTGATGATCTCATCCTGCTAGGCTACTGTCTTCGGGACCTCTAGGCATTGACTCGGCTGGCGAGGTGTCCTCGCACTACTATGGCGGAGCATCTGAGTCATGTTATATGGAGGAAACTCTATAGTAGCACCTGTGTACTCAGCCATCGTCTCAGGGGACTTCTGAGTAACTGACTTTCTAATCAAGAAGGTAATCCAGTGAGCATAAGGCAGTTGTCGATGACCTCTGAAACCCTTAGCAAGTGTGTCCTTCATCTCTGAAAGAATGACATCCCAAATATCAAATACAGCCTACTGACCAAACAGTTCA